GATCTGATGCATCTGACGGTCTGGGGGCCAAGCACACGCACGGCTCGGGTCAGGCCGGGATTCACACGGGGCAAAAGTCAGTCTTTACGTGAGCGACGGTGACGTTTGTTCGGGAGTAAGGAAATTCGTAATTGGTGTTGAACAAATTTGAAGAGATAATTTGTTATTGTTATTATGAAGATAATTATGGTACAAGAACATTACGAATAATATTACATTCCTTTGAATATTCGGAATTTTGTCCAATTAATTTACTATTGAAATTTTTTGAGTCAAAACAGAGTACGTGGTAATGTAAGTTCCATATAACTATTTGGATTACTTACATTGATTTGATTGAACTTAAAGCTATTATCCACTCGCTGAATAAAGCTTTTGGGGGGGTAAGTATTGATTGACTAAAAAATCATTGTGCATTTTAGTACCCCACAAAACTAAATCAATTTCAAGCAAATAAACAGTAAAGAACTTGAAAGATTTCAAATACCTTAAATTTTTTGTATTGGTCTTCGCCCCTACTCAAAAGTGCGTTATACTCAAATATTCGTCCTCCTAGCCGTAAGTGAGGTAGGTACTACACCGTGAGCTTTCCTACGAAGAGCACGTGGCCGCGGCCCTCCTCGCGGCGCGCGCTCGACTCCAGCAGGTAGGTGTCATGTGTCCGCGTCAGGTTACTGGGGGTCGAACGTCTCAGACGGGTCTTGTCGCACCGTCTCTTGAAGAAGTCGGCCTATCCTGCTGAGCGTTCTGTGAACGCACGAAGAGAGCGCGGTGAGCGGTGGTGGCTCAGCAGGCGGCGAATGCCTTCTGCTAAGACTATGGCCATATCTCGGAGGCAGCCGCATGAAGGAGCTCGCGTGCCCTGTAGCTCCGATAGCAAAAATAGCCCTCAGAATTCTTTATTGTTTTTCAATAGCCATTACGGTCAATAGCAAATTGTATATTGGATTATTTTAAAACAAATAAACAAATATTTAAAACATTGTTGCTGTACAGTCGTATTCTTGAAAATTGTCGGAGAATGATATATCAAATAGGATAGCGGAACTAATGGGTCTCTTTGGAAACCAAAAGTAACTTATCTTGAAAGAAGGTTTATTCATTCTACACTGAACGCAAACTCTTTATTTGCCTTTCTTCTTACTTAATTCGGCTCTTCGCAGTGCAATGGTCTTAACGACGGCAAAGTATTAAGCCAACTCTGCTCACTGAACACTCATTGAAACCGACTGCTCATTTTCTCATTTTTTTATTTGGTGTTCATTTTCTATTGATAAAGAGATTACAGGTGTTTCTAATCATGAAGATACACAATTCACTCTAAAGCAGAATACAAACAGAACATACATTACGCCTTAAATTAATGAGCTTACTCAGCACGGGCCACTTTCTGCTCGGGCCTTTTCTTCCGTGCATAATGGTAAGCAAGGAGAACAGAGTTTCGTGCTGTTCACGGTCAACTACTGAAAAGGCTTTCCTTGACAAGAAATAGCGCACTGAATGCACGTGCGGGGAAAAGCAGAAAAATTTCACCATTGTGTAACGGTGGCAAGAGTGCGTGTGGTACACTGTAACAGGAATCAAATTGAGAAAACAGGAAAAATCAATCGAGACGGAACAAGCTTTCCTTTCCCATCTCAACGCGAAAACAACCGTCTCGATGCGGGGTGGCCGGACACGCGAAATGCCTCTTGCGACATGGGCCGCGTTTCGCGAATGAACATTACTCTGCCGGGAGAGTGCGAAAGCTCTTTCGCAGCTGGAAAAGTATCGGAACGCGGTCTCACGACCAGCACGTCCGCATTGCGGTGCGCGAATATCGCCGGACTCGCGCGCGCACGCCGCGTTCTCGTCTAGACTCGAGGATTGGGAGTATCGGACTCTCGATTCGTCTACCATTGGCACACTGGAGACGGTTTTATTCGGAACGTTCAAACTGTCCACTTGGATAAAAATCTGCAAATAATTCTCATATAACGTTTTGTGAAATTAAATATTCTTATAGTAACAAGTGTTTAATTAAAAATGTTAATAGATGAATTATATGGTACAGTGACAGCTATAATTTTTCTCGATTGCTTCAATCTGGATTTATTAGCACCCAGAGAAAAGTTTTTAAAAAAACGTTTTTTTTACTGAAACACTCCATCGTAAATTTATATGTGGGAACCTCAGTGAAATGAAGTGTAAGTGTCATCGGTACTTTTCTGACTTGGACGTCTGAGAGGAAATGGTGGGGCCAGCACTAAAAATTTCGAAGAGCGCATCACCGTTTCTGCCGGAAAAGGAAGGTGATGGGAGCCCCAGTTCCGGGCGGTGAACAAGAGGAGAACCACGTCCCGGTCGCCAAGAATGGTGCGGTGCTTCGGCTCCTTGCGAGAGCCGCTGACGTCATTGCCGGCGGCCCCCGCCTGCATCCGCTCGTACCGGAGTCCTGAACCCGTGCGAGGAACGTGAATTACAGATCTTCTTTGAATGTCGTTCTATCGAAAGGGCTTCCGTACAAATGAAATTACGTACGGATTTTCTTACGCGCTTTTTGGATTTGCTAATACTCTTCTATTAATAACACCTAATTCTCACTGATTTCTATAAACGTCTGATTATATATTTTATTCTGGTTTTCCGCTATGACGTCAAAAGAATTTTCGCAGGGGAATGAATGGAACATTTTCTCTGTTCGTTAAAGCGCCTTTGTCTCCGCCACCATTTTACTGTTGACGGTCCTAGATGTGGTATAAGCGTTCATCTCCAGAGCCCCTCCTCGCAGCTTACCCGTTTTTGGAAAAGACAACCCTCTTACTTACTAGGTGGCAGAGAACAACTGCGCGAGGTAAACCGTATACAGTTACGAAAAAACAGTGCAAAATATTTCTTCGCCAGTTCTCGAAATTATATTTATCAAATTATTTTAGAAAATAATATTTTAAAATTTTTTTAAACTACACAAGATATTGTAAGAGAATTTGGTACGCCGTTTCTTAAGATTCGCAGGTTGCAAAAGCGCTTCCAAGAGGCATACCTATGCAGATTCGGGTTCTCGATACGACGCAAGTGGGTAGGGCGAGGCACCGAATGGTTCGTCGCCTGGCAAATAGCAGCAACTCTCTACACTATCGGGATGCGGCAAGCGATTGTTGCCAGTCGTCAAATAACGAAGTATGGAGCCGCGGAAGCAAGGGTGACGAATGTCAAGGAAGCAGGCGTGGGCTGGGACCAAGCCTCCGGCGCCGGGCGTCGCCACTCGCACGCGCATCCGGCAGACAACGGCGCTTCCGGCGAGCGAAGTTCGCTGCCGCGTGGGAACCTGTCTGAGCCGCCTCACGCGTCCCGCCCGGGCGTTTTGGGCGCGGATTATCGCTCAGCAGCGCGCGGGGGCGTCAAGCGCTGGCGTTGCAACTCTCACGCACCTACACGCACAGCCTGCAGCCGTAGCGAAACCAATATAACCAACAAAAAACAATTTTTTTTCTGGCTACCAGTGCCAGGACGGCGAAATGGCCCCCAGGTTGGGTTTGAAAACGCCAAAAAAACTTGCGAAAACTGATATCGTTAGTGGACAGTGTTAGCTGTAGCGAGCTGTGACCAATTTGCTCGTTTTTAAAAAAAAACATGCGCGACTACCCGCATATAAGTGGTACGGGCCCGTTAGAGAACATCGGTGCTCAGGAATTTTGTTTAGATATTTTATCGTTAAATGAAAGAGCAAAATTAACAGTGAACATCCCGGGACGCTCACACTTCGACTGGACACTCTCTGGACCAATGTAGCGCTGTCACCGTTAGGCTCTTCTGTGCGGTACGGATCGGTCGGTCAGGAGACAATTTCGCGAGGACAAAACAATGTATGCGAATGGCGCGACATGACTCAGAACAAGTTTTCAAACTCTCTGCGCTGTTCTCACGTTGCGACACTGCCACTCGCGGGTGGCATCTTTAATAAAGATATTTTGGACAGGCGGGTTTTACAGTTGAGTTTTTAACGGCATGTAAATGCGATAGTTTTGAAAGTTACTCGTTTTTTTATAGAACTCCCCTCCTTATGTTTAACTCGTTAATGGAATAGATTGTGTTAAATTAAGTAAATTCATTAGCGTTCATTTACTTAGCGAATTACTAATTATAGTATTGCTAGTTCAGAGCTATCGTCGTCGCCTCATCGATCGTGGACGCGAGCAAAGGAATCGGTACGACCGTTCGTGAAATTCGTGTCGCGCTGAGGTTGCTAGCTGGGGGGCCCCTTCCCCAACCCGCGCCGCCTGACCCGCCCGCGCCACCTAGCGTCAACCTAACGGCTTCCTATCGGCGAGCAGCGGCTAATGCCAAAGCCCGCTCTTGTTCCCGCGCGCGCTCGCGCGTGGCACTAAGCTTCTCCGCGCACCGGGAGGGCGTTTTTTTTCTTCTCCTTTTCCTCTCTTCAGGAGGCGGCCGCGCGCGTACTGCGAAGTCGCGCCGGTGGCAGCGGCCCTGGGCGTTGCGATGTTGACGGCGGCCGCACGCGTGGTCGCTGCGGCCCGAGGAGAAGGCGACAGGGCCACGTCCGGAATACACCGCCCCACTGGGCTGAGGGTGGAGCGGCGGCGGGAATTAGTGAAAGGTGAGCGGCGCTTGAAAAGGCTGACGGTGCGGCGGGGTGAGAGTAGACGCGGCGAAGCTCGAGAGCCAAGTAGACCGATCGGAACTCAGGTTTACGACAGCCAGCTCTTCAGAATTTAACGAAATAAAGGCAGGAAACAAATAAGAAATCCAACATTGGCGCGATAGCCTTCCATGAACGAGAACGTACACGAATACTAGTATTGCATTCCAGGGCTAGTGGCGTGAATATAAAATCTCGTTCCATTGGTAGTGGGGGCTGAACGGAAAGCGCTGGGCGCAGGCAGGGCGGGGCGGGGCGGGGT